ATCGCGGGGCCGAATGGTTTACTGAACAGTCATAAACTGTCATTGTGATGGAAACGCAGCGGAGTGCAGTGATGACAGCGTGGTGCGGGCCACATTGCAAGGCCTGGCGGGACGGATTTGGCCCGCGGGCCTTGTGTTTGACACATGTGCTAAACCTACAATAGAATTGGGAGGTACCATTGGATGTCCTACATAGACTATCACGTCATCTCAAATAAAGACAGTTTTACTTCTTTCTTCCCAATCTGGATGTCTTTTATTGCTTTTTCTTTTTCTTTTGTAATCCTTGCCTGAGGATATGTTTTTATTGATTTTTTATTTTTGAGAGAGAGAGAGGAAGGGGGGGGAGAGAGAGAGCAATTTTGATGTGAGTAAAACATTGATCAGTTGTCTCCCATATGTGTTGAGGCCAGGGATCAAACCTGTAGGCTAGGTATGTGCCCTGACCAGGAATTGAACCTGCAACCTTTTGGTATATGGGACAATGCTCCAACCACTGAGCAATACCAGCCAAGGCCATAACAAGTATTGATGAGGATGGGAAGAACTGGAAACCCTTGTGGACAATGTCAATATTACAACCACTTTGGAAAACAACTTGGCAGTTTCTTAAGTTGAACATACAAGGAACACAGTATGATCCCCTTAGTCCACTCCTAAGTGTTTGCTCAAAAAAAATAATAATAATTACTGACCATATAAAGACTTGTTTATAAATATTTATACAACTTTTATTTGTAGTAGAACCCAAGCTGTATTCAAGACTTCTATCAGATATCTGATGTGAAAATATTTCCTCAACTGTCCATCAACAGGTGAATGGATAAACAAACTGGCATATTCATCTAATGAAATACCACTCAGTTGGTAAAAACTGAATGAACTATCGCTACATATCACAACATGAATGAATCTTAAAATTATCATGCTAAGCGAAACTAGCCAGCCAAAAAAGAATACATACTGTATGACTAAACTGTAGAGAATTCAAAACTCATCTATGGTGATAGAAAGGAGATTGGTGGCTGCTTGGAAATAGGGGACAGGGAGGCGGGAGAGGGAGGAATTACAAAAGTACAAGAGAGAACCTTTGGAGCTGATAGGTATGTTCACTATCTTGATTGTAGTGATGATTTCATGGGTGTATACTCATAAATTGTACACTTTATTATTTTTAAAAAATATATTTTATTGATTTTTATTGTTTTTTTTACAGAGAGGAAGGGAGAGAGATAGAGTTAGAAACATCAATGAGAGAGAAACATCAATCAGCCGCCTCCTGCACACCCCCTACTGGGGATGTGCCCGCAACCAAGGTACATGCCCTTGACCGGAATCCAACCTGGGACCCTTGAGTCTGCAGGCTGACGCCCTATCCGCTGAACCAAACCGGTTTCGGCTAAAATTGTACACTTTAAACACGTGCAGTTTATTATAAACTATATATAAACTTTAGGAAAATGTATATGCATAGAAACTTTGTGTATAAAATTATATCTCTTTATTGAGGTGTCAGTGACATATGATAAACTACATGTAAACCTTATGTTTTAAAACTTGGTCCCAGAAGTGAAAATGTTCTTTCCAGTCATGTTTGGTTGGCCAGTGAAAGTCACTAAGTATTCACACCTCTTTGCCAAGGGCTAGAGAAGTGCATTCTTACCATGTGCCTGCATCCCGTTGAATATCTGTGTTTGTGTCCAGTCCCATTGAGTCCCAGTGACTCAGCAGCAAGCATGCTGTTTTGTTTTTTTATAAATAGAACTCTTGTCCTAGTTGTTATGTAATGGAATCCACATTTACTTACAGAACCAACAAACAATAGTAGACTTAGCAGCCCTCACTCAACAGTCCTGCAAAGGTTCAGTTGTTTCGCTTGTTATAGTGAGGAATGTGAGTTAAATAAAATAGTCCAGGCCTCTCCCTACTAATTCTGAAATTAGTGCTCCTTATAATTTAAGAAAATAAACAGAACTAGGAGAAAACAGGAGCAGCCACTTGATCTAGTTCCTGTCTCCTACCTAATTAGATTAAATGTAAATCACAGAAGACAGATGGAGGGTCAGAGACTTTATAATGGCAAAATGTTTCCTAAGTTTATTCTCTTCATGGTCAAGAAATTGTTTCTCATGTCTGACTAAAGTTTTTTAAATTTAAACTAATTTATTTTTGTTCTGTTCTTAAAAAATTTTTTTAATCCTACTGGAGGATATGTTCTACTGATTTTAGAGAGAGAGCGAGCAACATAGATGTGAGAGAGGAACATTGGTATGTTGCCCCCAGTACATGCTCTGATGGGGAATCATACCCTCAACCTAGGTATGTTCCGTCACCGGGGTTGGAACCCGCAGCCTTTTGGTGTACTGGATGGCGCTCCAACCAGCCATGCCAGGAGGCCAGGGCTCTTGTCAGTCACTTTGATGAATTGGTCACAAATATTGTAGTAAAAGCTCTGTGGCATAGAAAAAGGTTAACATCCTTATTGTACAAAAAACTCTTGCATAACAGTAAGGAAAAAAAGATAAACATTTTACTTCGTTTTCTAGCAACATGGTAAATTGTATTACTACAGCCTCTAACTCACCCCTAGCAGGACTTCTTTCTGAAAAACACATAGAAATGCTGCATCTGCTCTATTATTTTCTGTACTTTTTATATGTACTTTAAAACATTTCTAATATTTTGCCCTGGCCAGGTAGCTCAGTTGGTTAGAGAGTGATCCCGATACATCAAGGTTTTGGGTTCAATCCCCAGTAAGGGCATGTACAAGAGTCAACCAATCAATTCATAAATAAGCGGAATAACAAATCTCTCTCTCTCTCTCTCTCTCTCTCTTTCTCTCTCTCTTTCTTTTTCTCTCTCTCCTTCCTCATCTCTAAAATCAATAAATAAAAATTTTAAAAATAAAAATATCAATGAGATGCCATTTCATCTGTAAAATTAGCAAATATATGTTAAAAATAAAAATGCCTCATTATTATCAAGGGTGTCAAGCCTATATTTACAGTAGGAATATCAATTGGTACAAACTTTCTCAATGGGAGTGTGCATATTTTAAAATTTTTTTGCTAATATGTATTTTCTAAGTTTTCTATAATAAACCAATACTACAATTGAACAAAATATACACTTTTAACTGAAGGCAATATTGCTATTAAAATTCTTTCTTACCCTTCGCCAGGCTAACAAATTTTTTCTTCTTTCTTGACAAGGCCTTATTTTCACTCTGAAATCGTGAGTTCTTTTTTTCAGAATTTTTTCATTTTCTCCATGTTTTCAATTCAGTCAAGTTTATGTTCTGAATTAGTCTACCATAACAGGTTTGAAATTTTGAAATATGCTTTTCCGGTTTTTCTTTAAATGGTAAAGTTATATTTGCATTGCATTTTGCCAAAAGCATCCATTAGCTAGATTGACATGTAAAAACAGGTTCTTACTAACTGTATTCTTTTGTCCAGAATTACTTATTATGTGCCCTTTACGTACTCTGGTACTGTCCCTCTGTGTCCCAGCAGAGAGGTGTGGGTATTGTGTATGTGGGTAAATACTACATATGTGTATGTCCATTTGTATAAAACATATGCCAGTCACTAGACTTGGTGCCCTCTAAGCTTTACTTCATTAAGTCCTCACAACAATCTTTTTTGTTTTAAATATATTTTTATTAATTTCAGAGATGAAGGGAGAGGGGGGGAAAGTTAGAAACATCAATGATGAGCGAGAATCATGGATTGGCTGCTTCCTGAATGCCCCCCACGGGGGATTGAGCCTGCAACCCAGGCATGTGCCCTGGACCGGAATCGAACCCTGGACCCTTCAGTCCGCAGGCTGATGCTCTACTGAGCCACAGCAGCCAGGGCTTACAACAATCTTATGAGATCACTGCATTATTTCTATTTTATGGATAACGTTTAAAGAGGGGCTGTAAAATGCCGGAGAATAGTTGGTAAGAGCAGGAGCCAAGCCTTGCAGATGGCATCCAGGCAGGGAAGAAGATAGAGAAATGAAACTGTGTATGGGGCCAGATGAAAAATGCCACAAATGTGATAAAAAACAAAGACCTTTTTGGACCTTCACTGATGTCAATATTTTTATCCCACATGGCAGGCTTCAAATTATGTGAACTGAGCAGTGGCACGGGACCCCAAATTCAGATAAACCCTGCACTTGGTGTTTAATGCTATGCAGTTGCCACCTTGAAATTCTAAGTATTTTTTTCTTTAAATCTGTTTCATAAATGAAGTCTCATGAACATTGGAAGCATGTGCCGTGCCATGGGTTTGCCTGCTGCCAGCTCCCCGCCTTTTGGCAGCCGTCGCTCCATCACCTGGTGCCTGGGGCCTTGCCAGGCCTCACCCTCTCCACGTCTGCCCTCCCCAGTGTGACCACTGCCTCTTTCCACCCGGTGACAGCCAGGTTGTACTGTGCTGTGAGGCTCATGTTCTGAGGCCCGTGTTCTGCTGTGACGCTCCACCCCCCGTGGGGCCTGGGCTGAGGCCCAGGAAGGTTGGATGTGTCACCCACACCCCGGGAATGCTTTCCAGCAAGGTGTGGGTGACAGCATGGTCTCTGCCAGGGCACCACGACTGTTTGGGGGAGTAAAGGCCTCTGGCCCACCCCCCAGTCCCGGTACTGAGTATTCAGGCACTGAGACTGCTGCAGGGCCAGCAGCCGGAGGGAGGGGATCCAGCTGCCAGACAGGACCTGCACTTACCCTGCGAGTACCCCCGCCCCGGGGGAGTTACATTAAACCAAGGCAGGTCAAGAGAGCAACAAGGAAAGAGGGAAAGCTTCATAGAGTGCCTTCACCAGTCCATTGTCTTCCTGCTTTTTTAAACAAGGGGAGTGTATCCTCATTTTGCACTGGGCAGGGAAATCATACAGCCAACCCTGCTGCTCTATGGTCAGACCACGTCTCACCACAGCTACCCGTGACAGGGGCGGGGACGGTTTACTCTGAGGGGAAAGGTGACGAATGTGATCACCCCACCCTTATTTACCTTTGTCTTCAACGTGTTTATACTCAGTTCCTGGTGTCGGAAGGCCGCGGCGCTGGCCAGAGAGAAGGGCTGTTTGTTACATGGACGGCGACGTTGGAAGCAGAGCTGCCCCGGGGTGCGTGCGTCCCTTTTAGCTCGGCTCTCAGCCACTTTCTGCAGGGATCGCCCTGGCAGAGACAGGTTCCCCCTTTAAAGATACCTGCTTGCCTGCCAAGTAGGTCTCTGAACACTGCCTCCTAGACACTGCTTATTCCTGCAGACAAGGGCCTTCATGCCCTGGAAAAGCAACGTGGTTCGAGGCTGGGGTGACAGTCAAGAGGGACATCCCCACAAGGAAAGCACAGGGCAGACAGTTCTCAGTCACAGCCAGGCACGGCCCCGGAGAAGGCCCTCTGGGGTAAATCTGGTTTTCATACACAAACAATGTCGCTAGGGAGCTGCACGCCCAAGGGTTTCATCTGAACTCTTCTCTTTTAATGGCCGTAAATGCCATAGTCAAATCAGCTGTAAACCGTGTACTTGTGTACCGTCCAATAGGAAGTCCTCAAAATGTAAATCACTGACTCTGGTAATACGGAAATAGATCTTACACATTTTCAGTTAATTTTGTTTCATTGTTAAGGAGATTTCTCCGGGAGGGGGCTTGTGCACGGATGGGAAGTGTGGGGAAGCATGAGCCAAAAAAGTGTAGAGGAGCCATGGGCAGAGGAGGGAGAAGCCAGGGGACCGTAGGCTTCCGGGGTGGTATGGGTGCCCTCCCTGGCACCGCCTCCTAACTGTGTGTATCTGGCAAAGAGCTCCCAGGAGAAGCTGCTGAAGGGTGAGCTTCTCTAAGTGAAGGGCTACCCTATGGTGTTTTTATTATTAGTTACTACTGAAACAAACATTTAGGTCCTTGAAATGAGAAATATATTTCTATGCTGGAGACGGACTTAAATCACTTCATTCTGTGCTGCAGATAAACTTAAAATCACTCTTTCACCTCCCTAAAATCTATGCTTAGCTGGGGTGTAACCAGACATAAGATGATCAACACCCAACTTATCTACATAGGACTTAGATGTCCAGTCATTTTTTTAAATACTTTCTAGCCATTTTAACCATCTTTACCAAAATGTGTTCTTGATAATGGGGTAAGAGAGAAAAGTAAAGAAAACGGTGTTATTTCTTTGCCCCTACCAGAAGGCCAAGTAGCAGATGTTGGGATTCCTTTTCCCATGGTCCCTGTCCATCCTACTGAGGTTTCCGCAGGTCCCACCTTCCTCCTTTAACTGTGGAAATGACTGTGTCTTATCGCAGAGAGCTCTGTAATCAAAAGATGGAGGAGGAGAATCAGAACAAATCCCGGGGACCCAGATCTTCCCTGTCTGGATGCACCTGTAATAGTGCAGTTGTTAGGATTATTCTCTCGGTCCACTCCTGGCCACCAAATCTGGGGAGGGTTGATGGCTGTTATAAGGGCCAGGCCCAAAAGGGTACATGCACATCACGGTGACTCGCCTCCCACTGGCCTCAATCCAGTCACAGAACCTAACGGCAAGAAGGGCGAAAGCTGGGGTCTGTGGCACTCCCTCTGACGCTGCCACAAAACCTAGGAAATGTTCAGACACTGGAAGCACAACACTTGGGAAGCCCGGAGTGTTGGAAGCTTGGGGCTGAAAACTGTAAGATTTACTAAAAGTTTCATAAAGTACAGTTTTGATCCTGTGCAGACCTTTGTCCCTCTCCCACCCCAGGAGAAAGTGGGCGGTTTATCCTTTGAAGTGGACACACAGGGTCTGGACTTGGAAATAGCAGTATAGGTATGTGAAGATGAGAAACCCCACCAAAAACCAAGGTATTAAGTTCAAGTCTAATGGCTACGAGTTGACATTCCCAGCCTCTTTCTCCCACTCAGTCCCAGGATACTGACAGCCATACTTTACCTTTCCAGGCAGGATTCCTCTTCAATGAAAGCAAAGGGCCTAGGACCATGGTCGGCAAACAGCGGCTCGCGAGCCACATGCGGCTCTTTGGCCCTTTGAATGTGGCTCTTCCACAAAATTCCACAGCCTGGGCCAGTCTATTTTGAAGAAGTGGCATTAGAAGAAGTTTAAATTTAAAAAATTTGGCTCTCAAAAGAAATTTCAGTCGTTGTGCTATTGATAATTTGGCTCTGTTGACTAATGAGTTTGCTGACCACTGGCCTAGGAGTAAGGGCTTATAGATCCTTCCAGTGAAATGGCTGGGCCCCAACCATTCACCCTACAGTGAGCCCCATTCACTCGCAGAGAATCTTCCAATGAACTTTTCAGCACCTCACATTCATATAAACCTGTGAACAAAGAGAAAGCCAAGAATTACTAAGTAATTAAAGAGAGCCTCTCAAATGAAAGACAGACTACAAAATACAAAAATAGAAAATTAATCCAGATCTAAGAGGCAATATAAAGAGCAAAAGAAAGCTTAGGGATAAAAGCATTATTAATTAGTATCTTCAGAGAGATATGAGAATGTGTTGTATACATAAAAGAAAAAAACAAGGTTGCCATAGGAAAAGCACGTTTCATTGTTAAGGAGACAATTCTAAGTATTTTTTGTGACAAGCAAGAGCTTTTGAAAATTAAAACAAAGGTAGGATAGACAGAACTAAGAATTCAGTAGAAAGGGGTGAAAGATAAAGTTGAAAAAGTCTCCCAAAGAGTAGAACAAAAGGCAAAGAGAGGAAAACTGGAGAAATAAGAGAATAAAATTCTAGGATTGATTTAGGAAGTTCCAGAAAAATGAGATAATGGACAGGGAAATTATCAAAGAATCTCCCAGAACTGAAGGTCATGAGTTGTCATTTTGAAAAGCCCACTAGGCACTCAGAACAGGGAAGGAAAGCACACCTGATCTAGTGCACATCCCGGTACAAGGTCAGAACACCAAGGATGAAAAGAAGAGTTGAAGAACTTACAGAGAGCACAACAGTCACCAGAAGATAATGGCAACACACACACACAAAAATTAAAAAGTGGGCAAAGGACCTGAATAGACACTTCTCCCAGAGGACATACAGATGGCCGATAGACACATGCAAAATGCTTAATATCACTAATCATCAGAGAAATTGAAATACAAACCACAATGAGATATACCTCACACCTGTCAGAATTGCTATGATCAATAAATCAGCCCTCGCCGGTTTGGCTCAGTGGATAGGGCATCAGCCTGCAGACTGAAGAGTCCCAGGCTCAATTCCAGTCAAGGGCACATGCCTGGGTTTCGGGCTCAATCCCCAGAAAGGGGTGTGCAGGAAGCAGACGATCAATGATTCTCTCTCATTGTTGATGTTTCTATCTCTCTCTTCCTCTCCCTTCCTATCTGAAACCAATAAAAATATTTTTAAAAATAAAATAAAATAAAAAATTAATAAATCAACAAACAACAAGCATTGATGAGGATGTGGAGAAAAGGAAACACTCATGTACTGTTGGTGGGAATGCAGATTGGTGTAGCCACGGTAGAAACAATATGAAGTTTCCTCAAAAAATTAAAAAAAATTTAATTTTTAATTTTTGTGTGTCCCAGTGAGTACTGGCCAACACATCAAAGGGTCAAGGGTTAGATTCCCAGTCAAGGGCATGTTTTGAGTTTCAAGTTCACTACCTGCCAATCAATGTGTTTCACATCGATGTTTCTCCCTCTCTCTCTACCCTTCCCACCCTCCCTTCCACTCTCTTTGAAAAGCTATAGAAAAAATATCCTCAGGTGAGGATTAACAACAACGAAAAAATAAAATTAAAAATGGAACTACCCTATAACCCAGAGATTTAATTTCTGGGAATATATCCAAAGAAACCCAAAACACTGACTCAAAAGAATATGTACACCTCTATATTCATTGCAGCATTTCTTACAATAACGAAGATTTGGAAGCAGCCCAGGTGTCCATCAGTAGATGAGCGGGGTGGGAAAATCCGTGGTACATTTACACAGTGGAATACTACTAAACTTTAAAAAATATGGAAATCTTATCCTTTGCAACACCATGGTTAGACCTGCAGAGTATTATGCTAGGTGAAATAAGCCAGACAGAGAAAGACAAGTACCAGGTGATTTCCCATATATGTGGAATCTAATGAACAAAATAAACTAACAAACAAAATAGAAACAGACTCATAGATAGAGAAGAGACTGACAGTTATCAGAGGGAAGAGGGGCTGGTGGGCTGGGTGAAAAAGGTGAAGGGATTAAGCAAAACACACACACACACACAAACACACACACACACACACACACACACACACACACACTACTCACACAAATAGCAGTATGGCAATATGGTAATTACCTAAGGGAATTGGGGGTCTGGGGGAAGTAGAAGAAGTTATAGGGGGATAAATACTGATGGAAGGAAATTGGACATGGGGTAGTGAATGCACCATACAATATACAGATGATGTGTTATAGAATTGTACACTTGAAACCTATATAATTTTATCACCCTGATAAATTCAATAAAGTTGTTGTTGTTTTTTTAAAAAGAAGAAGAAGAAGAAGAAGAAGAAGAAGAAGAAGAAGAAGAAAATAATAATAGGTTGATGCCTTCAAAATTCTGAGAGGAAATGATTTCCAATTTAGAATTCTATATGTGGCCAAACGACTATTCAAATATGAAAGGTAACTGCAAGTAACTCAAATGACTCGAGAAAAAATATGCATATACAATATAGATCAACAAATGCAGCAAAATGTTAAAAACTAATGAATTGCTGAAGGGTATTAAGGAGGTTTTGGTAATATTCTTGCACATGTTTTAAGTTTGAAGAAAAAAAAAGAGAATAAAGGTAGAACAAAGGAATTTTTAGGTATGTACGGTCTCTAAAGTTTATCTCTTTGTTTACTCTCTTACTAAACCACTGTATAATGGTTGTGTTCCAAGCAAACAAGGAAGTGAAAGAGCAAAGTGCAGCCATGGGATCAAGAAAACAAGTCCAACACAGAAGACAGGGGATGATGGTTATACATTTGGTTTGGAAAGGAACCAGTCTAGCATGGAGCAGGAGGACCAAGGAAAGAGGTTTATATAAACCATTAAAATTCGGAACTCATAGATTAGCATTGGAGTAGTTCCATAGTTCCATAGTTCAGACAGATATGAATAAGTGGACAGGACCCTAGAAAATAGGATAAAGCAAAATTTGAGTTAATTATTAACTCCAGGGAAATTGAACAATTGCATAAGAAAGGAAATAAATAAATTATGTGGTTCAGCCATGAACAAGATTTATATGGTCAGATTAATATAAAAATGAATATATAATATAATTGAATTGGGAATGAGAGAAAGAAAATGCTATATAAATGGTGGTATAAAAGAGATCATTCCTCATATTCCATAGTAAGAAATCAATAATTGATGCATAAAATAGAAAAGCAGTAGAAATTTATTATTGGAAATACAGAGGTAAACATGAGAAAAAATGCTTAAAGAACTATCTCTGAGAAATAGGAATCAGAGTGGGTAGGGATAAGAAGAGAATCTATATTTTTTTATAAGTAGGGTTTGTCTGGGACAGTCCCAGTTTATCCTTGTTAGTCTGGCATAATTTTGTTATTGCTCCTTTTATTCTCAAAATTGTCCCAATTTGGATGAAGCCTTGAGGCGTTATTCTGTTTTTAAAACTATGTATCTGTAAAAATGTGATAAAAAAAAATAAAAAAAAAAGGGAGGGCTCTTTGGACCCTAAATAAAATAACTTTTGTTCAGTTCAGTCAAAGACTTTAATTATCTTTTACTCTAAAAGTAATTCTTCATTTAAAATTAAATACAGCCGAAACCGGTTTGGCTCAATGGATAGAGCGTCGGCTTGGGGACTGAAGGGTCCCGGGTTCGATTCCAGTCAAGGGCATGTACCTTGGTTGTGGGCATATCCCCAGTGGGGTGTGTGCGGGAGGCAGCAGATTGATGATTCTCTCTCATCAATGTTTCTAACTCGGTATCTCTCTCCCTTCCTCTCTGTAAAAAATCAATAAAATATATTTTAAAAATTAAAATTAAAATTAAAAAAATTAAATTAAATTAAATTAAATACAATCAATATGCTTGTTTCAAAGCACTTTCTACATTCACTACCTCATTTAATCCTTACAACAGCTTCATGGGATAAACATCCTACCCCATTTTATAGATGATAAAAATGTGATTTAGAAAGGTCTTGTGACTTCACAACAAGATGACCCAGTTTGTAGGTAATAGTCTACACTGGACCAGGCCCAGTAGACAGTTCTCATGCTCCTGCCACAAAACCAAATGACAAGACGTTTAAGCCATCCCACAAACTAACAGAATCTGAGATGAAAAATCAAGAACCCAGATTAATAGCCTAGCTGTTAGGAAATAGCTTATGAAAAACAATGAAAAATTCAAACATCCTTTTGTCATCTTGGTCTTTGTTTTTTAGTTGTTGTGTGTGTGTGTGTGTTTTAAGACATTGATGTTCTATTTTATTTATTTATTATTTTCAATATATTTTTTATTGATTTCAAATAGGAAGGGAGGAGAGAGAGATAGAAACATCAATGATGAGAGAGAATCATTGATCGGCTGCCTCCTGCACACCAACTACTGAGAATGTGCCCTTGATTGGAATCGAACCTGGGACCCTTCAGTCTGCAGGCTGATGCTCTATCCATTGAGCCAAACCAGTAGGCTTGTCATCCTGGTCTTTGAACAAAAATCTTAATTAGGCTTCTCAATTAGGCATAGTTAGGAAACTGAAATCACCCTTATGAGAATATAGCCAACCTCTTTCTTGAAATCCCAAAGAATGAATCTCTACTGCTAAACTTCCTGACCAGGAAGCAGCTGTAAGGTTGTCTTATTTTTAAAAAGATACCTTAAAGTTATAAAAATAATGCATACTTATGTAAGAAAAATAGTAAAATACTAGCAGTGATAAAGCACAAAAGAAAAAAAAATGAGATCATCTATATCCAGTCACCTAAAGATGACTATGATTGCCCAGGCCAGTTTGGCTCAGTGGCTAGAGCGTCACCCTTCAAACTGAAGGGTCCCAGGTTCAATTCTGGACAAGGGTATGTACATTGGTTGCAGGCACATCCCCGGTAGAGGGTATGCAGGAGGCAGCTGATCCATGTTTCTAGCTCTCTATCCCTCTCCCTTTCTCTCTGTGAAAAAAAACAATAAAATATTTTTTAAAAAATAAAAGGTGACTATGATTAACATTTTAGTGTATATATACATCTGTCTTTTTCTTGCACGAATGCAAAAATAGAATCATATCATGCAAACTTCTCAGTACCTGCTCTTCCCCTTCATACACTGCATTTTGGACATGGTTTCATGTCCATACTCATATGTATATATCTTTCTTTTTAGTAGCTGCCTAATAGTTCATCATTTGTATTACTGTATTTAACTAATCCTCCGTTGCTAGATACTTGGGTTGTTTTTGTTTTCTTTCTTTTTTTTCTCTATGATTAACTTTACAGCAACAAAACTCTGCACACACATCTCTGTGACCATGTCCAATTATTTCCTCAGGATAACTTCCTTAAAGTGAGATTACTGTGCCAAAGAGCAAGAATTTCAGAGCCCTTCTAATTCACATTGTAAACTGCCTTTCTGAAAGGTTTTACGTACATTTCCATCAATAGAGGATCTAAATGTCCATATTCCTATACCCCACAACCCTGAGGGTTCTTTTATCAGTGCTGTTATTTCCTAAATGTTAACCTTGAGGGGACAAGGCAAGAGTGGGGGGTGGGAAGAAGCTGAGCCAAGCAAGAAGTGTCAGAGTTCTTTAATCCCTTTTCCCTCTAATATTTTTTGAATTTGAAACTTTGGCTTGACTGGTTCCATCTTCAGCTCACACCACAACTTTCCCGCCTGCCCCTCTTTTATAGTATTTGCGTTTTGGTCTGCCTTTCCATGCTAGTGAGTACATTCCTTTGATACAGAGGGTTGCACCCTCGATGTCAAGGTTTGAACAGCAACATTGCCCAGTAACAGGGTCACTGTGACATGCCCAAGGATTCTGAAATTTCAGAACCAGACTTGTTAGAATGAACTGTCTAACACAGACTCCCACACTGATCTGCCAGCCATGGAAACAAAGCCACATTGAAGCTAATTAAGACACAGGAGCAGAGGCCAAGGCTGGTCTTACATTCCTTCACCTCCTCCTCTGATTCTTTCTTTCTCCCTGCCCCAGGGGGTCCGCTTCCAAGTCCTCCTTCACCAGCTGTGCCCTGAAATGCTGAGTTTGCTTTATTTTAAAGGGGTACGTGCCATTTAAAGGCTACATTCTCCCACTTCATTCTTTGTTTCCCATTCCTCATTCGCTCCAAGAGTGAGGATCACCTCCTATTCTTCCTAAAACTTTCACCCTTGCTTAGAGACGTATGATAGCTTTGCACAACGTTTGGCTACTGTTTCTCTTATAATTCTTGGGATTTTTTTTTTTTCCTTCATGAACAAGGGGGCATTTAGAAGCCAGCCTTGCTTAGTTTATGTATGCAAGCAACCCGCTTCTCCCTCAGGACTGGCACAGAAAATGTCATAAAGAGTATCCTCCACTGAGGTTAAATAAATACAGAACTGGGTGCTGCATGCTCACCCACACTGCTCATTTTAAGTAAGCTGCTCCCACACCCGGTGAGAGTAATGACAAGAAATGCAGGTACATTTTGCACTGGGACACATTAACATTCACAAACCTTTGTCCTGGGAACTGAGCGCTTCGATGCCTGGTTTTGAAGGCCCCTCAGCTTGAAGGCGGGCAAGGGAGAGACTGTAGCAGGCAGGAGGCCAGTGGACCTGGTTTGAGGTGCTAGAGGCTGAAACCCAGAAAACAATGGTTTTTCCATCTCCAGGGGGGGAGGTAGTTGGTGCTCTGGGTGTTAGAAGAGGTTTTGCAGAGGGCAGGTAGAGCCAGGTCCACTGGCCTCCTGCCTGTTACAGTCTCTCCCCTGCCCGCCTGCAGGCTGAGGGGCCTTCAAAACCAGCCATCGAAGCGCTCAGTTCCCAGGTCACCTTACACTGCGCCAAGATTTTCCCAGTTCACCAGGACCTACCATCAACATGCTCTCCTATTTTTAACCGATTTTAAGAGGACAATTAAGTGACCCATTTTTACAAAACATAAACAAAGCGACACAGTCCAAAGTCCAGACCTCGGATGAAATCGATTACTAGACATCTGCAGGGCAGAGGGAAAGAGTTCAGAGAACACACTGGAGGGGCGCCTTTGGGAGCTGTTCCGAGCGCAGACAGGGCGGTGGCTTCGCACGTGGTCCGCGCCCATCGCTAGGCCGGGCCCCGCCCCCGCCCCGCCTAGGCCCCGCCCTCTCGCTGACGTCGCTGTTACGTCACGGATGGGGCTGCGGCCACCGCGGGTCCTCGGCTCCGGAGGCGTCGGTCGCGGCCTCGTGAGGTGACCCGGGCGTCAGGGACGGCGGCCCGGACCCACTGCGCCCATCCGAGCGGGACGGGCCCAGCGTGGCGAGGAGGCACCTCGATAGCCGCCCGGGGAGCCATCTCGGGCCTATTTTTTTTTCCTTTTTTGTCTCCAGGACCTTCCCTCCGCGCGCCCCGTTTCCCTCTGCAGAGACCGCGACGCCCCCTCCCGGGCCGGGCCGCCGTGCTTGCCCGCCTGAAAGGCGCCGCCCGCCGGCCGGAGCGAACCGGGAGCGGCCGCCGTGCCCGCCGCGCTCTCGCGGAGCCTGGTCGGCCGGTGGGGCCGGGGCCCTGGGCACCGGGCGCGGCGCTGCGGCGGCCGCTCCTCCCGCGCGGGACGCTGGGCCCCGGGCCTGGCCGGACCGAGGGCCGCCTCCTCCTGACCCGCCGCGGGGTCCCGGCCGGCCCCTCCGGGCCCGTTTGCAGCTTGCACCCGGCTTCCTTTGTGGGTCGGAATTTTATTTTATTATTTTTTATTTTTGCTTCCCCCTTCCCTTTAAGGTTGTGGTGCGGGAAGGCCGGCCCGTCACCTCGGGCAGTGCCCCCTGCCAGCGCGGGCTCTCCCCGCGCCCCTCTCCTCCCCGTGTGTGATTGATGGGGCTTTTAAAGTTCTCTCCTTTTATTTTTCTCGCCTCCTGACCGGAAGGCCCCTCCTCGCCTGGCCCTCGCCCTGCAGGTTCACCCAGAGCCGCCCGCCGCGGGGCCGGGGATGTGCCCACAGTGACGGCGGCGGCGAGCCGGACCCGCGCGCGGAGAGCCCCGGCCCGGGGGCCAGAGCACGGCCTCCCCGCCCGCCCCGGCCTCGCACCCGGAGCCCCGGAGCGGGGGCAGACGCCGGGGAAGATGTGGCTGAAGCTCTTCTTCTTGCTCCTCTACTTCCTGGTCCTGTTCGTCCTGGCCAGGTTTTTCGAGGCCATCGTGTGGTATGAAACTGGCATCTTCGCCACCCAGCTGGTGGACCCGGTGGCTCTGAGCTTCAAGAAGCTGAAGACCATCCTGGAGTGCCGGGGTCTGGGCTACTCCGGGCTCCCCGAGAAGAAGGATGTCCGGGAGCTGGTGGAAAAGTCAGGCGAGTATGGGGCTCTCCCCTGAGGGGTCCTCCACCCGGGGCTGGGTGGGCTGGGGTGGGCTGGGGTGGGGGTTGGGATTGGGGGGCGACCTGTACTTGCTCGCACCTGGTGGTCCCCCAGAATGAGGCCTTCCCTGGAAGAAGAGTTAAGCCGACTCCTTCGACAGCTGCCCAGTTTTTCTTTGTCCAGGTTTTCTACAAATAATAATAATAATAATAATTATATATATATATATATATATATATATATATATATATGAATTCCATATTGAGCAAGGGGTCTGGAATTATTTATAGGGGATAGGTGTATCTTTTAAAGGTTATTTTAAAATGACAGTTTTAAGTGCAGCTTTTTAAATATTGTTTACCATTAGTATTGTTTTCTCAAACTTGGGGAATGTTACAGACTGGAAAGCATTATTATTTGCCAGTTGAAATTCATAAGGCCATAAGAAAAACACCAAACGTCCGTGCATAGCAATATTTGTCACGATTAACAATAGCCAGTTGCCTTGAGGGGAAGCTGTCATTGGAATACTTAATATCAAGGATGCAGTTAGGCCTAATGATGTAATGATTTTACATCATTAAATGTAAAATGAGTTTAAACATAAAATGTACACTGTACCGTATTAGCTTTTCATACTTTTAAGTGTGGTGACAATGGAGTGGATTTTTTTTTTTATGTGTGTGTGTGAATACCTATCTCGTTTTATATTTCTGTCAGGGCTTTTTAAAAATCCTTGTATTTTTTATGTGAACTTTTTTCTTCTATGAAACAGGCACTGCTGCATCAACCTAAATGAGCTAATAAATAGAACTGACATAGCAACGAGAGAATAGCATCTTAAAAAATGCAATTTCAGTAATTATTGGTTTTGGGGTAGGATTTGGTGAGAAATATGGTCAATTTTTTTTTTCACCCCTGGACAAAGGATATCCTTGTTTAGATTTAGATATATTCTTCCTGAAAGGGGAGATGTGCTATCATTTGGGAAAGGCATTCTGGGTTGTTGTAGATAGCAGTTGAAACTGATGGTTATCTTTCTTTGTTGTTTTAAGTATAGCTGTCAGCTATCTTTTGCAAGAAAACTTGTTTCTTTACTTAGTATCCTATAGCCATAAATAATGTTAGACGAGAATATTAATTCCGGAGGTTTTAGCACTCACATATTTGCAAGTTAAGGGTTATTGAACTCATATTACTGTTGTGCAGAGGAGGGAAGCCTCCATGTAAAAGTGACACATTTTTCTTCGGAGGAAACAAAATTGTGTATTATTCTTGCCTCTTGTTTACAAACTGGTTTATGGTGACTTATTTCTGGGTGGAGGGAATGGAGTAAAGTAGATTTCTAATAAGTAAACATTTAGGTTTAGAAATGAGAAGTGTTTTAACTGCCAAAGCCATCTTCATGGTAAATAGTTTAATAACACTTTTTTTCCTTTGATTTTTATTTAGTGTTGCCTTTTTTGGGCCTAAAAATATTTGACACTTTGAGTATACAGGAGTGTATATATCACTTGAAGAATACACAGAGCCCACAAAAATATGACTCAGATCACACATTTTATATCAAAGAAGTCTTGGGATTGCAGTTTAACTTTATTCGTTGTGAATCGTTTTGTTGCTATCGTGATGAAGTGATTGTTTTCTCAGATTTAAAATTTAAGGCAAAAGCTAAAATGATTTGACATTAGCTTTTTCCTTTACTTTTTATTTGATGATGTAAGCTCTAAATTTATACTGTTAATATTTATGTGAATATGGAGTTTGTTCTTATAGGTAATCTTTTATATCTAATTTCCAAGTCATATAAGATCTGTTGCTATTTTAAGCATTCAGTAATGGCAAATTCTGTAAACTCATTTCTAAATCTTGTAAAACATACTGTTCAAAAATTTTTTGGCCCTGGCCAGTACTCAGTGGTTAGAGCACCAGCCAGAGCACCAAAGGTCAAGGGTTTGACTCCTGGTCAAGGTCAGTACCTGGGTTGTAGGTTCATACCCAGCCCTATCAGGGCTGGTGATGGAGGCAACCAATTGATGTGTCTCTTCCACATGGATGTTCTCTCCCTCTCCCCCTTTCTCCCTTACTTCCCCCTTCCACTCTCTCAAAAAAAACCAATGGAAAAAATATCCTTCGTTTAGGATTAAAAAAAAAATTGTTTGGCCCTGGCTGGTGTGGCTCAATTGTTTAGGTGCATCATTCCATGCACCAAAAGGTGGTGGGTTTGATCCCCAGTCTGAGAGCACACTGGAGGCAACCAGTTGATGTTTCTCTCTCACATTAGTGTTTCTTTCTCTCTCCCTCCCCCTTCCTCTCTCTAAAATCATTAAAAACATATTTTATAAATAATTATTTGAAGCCTAGATATGTTGTACACAAAACTAAATGATATTGTGGTGGCTTTTAGACTGGTATACATTCAATAACTTATCTGATGACCCCACGAGAATATAAGCCCCCGAGAAGAAGGATTTTTGTCTTTTTTTTTTTTTCATATTTGCCTAATACATAATAGGTTCTTATTATATACTAGGGACCTGCAGGAATATTCCTGCAAAACTTCTGGCTGGCTTCCCTCCCACCACAGCTACCTCTCCCGCCTCCCCCACCTCTCCCGCCTGCCCCACCACAGCCACAGCCCGGTTTCACTGTGCACATGCTGCCACCACCGCTGCCCACTCCGCAGCTGCTCATGCCGCCACTGAGCGCCTCGCCCTCCCCACCCTGCGCGTGCTGCCAGTGCTTTCCCACCAGCAGCCGCAGCTGCCTTGCTTTCCCTCCCTCCTCCTTCTATGCTGTCTTAAGTCTTCACTCCTCCCTTCCTCCGTGTATGCAAATTAACCACCATCTTTGTTGGGTTAATTTGCATACTCTGATTGGCTAGTGGGTGTGACTGGTTGGTGTATAGTGATGGTTAATTTGCATATTACTCTATTATTTGGTAGGATTTATTGTATGTGTGGATTTTATTTTTTTATTTTATTTTTTTTAATATATTTTATTGATTTTACACAGAGAGGAATTGAGAGGGACAGAGTTAGAAACGTCGATGAGAGAGAATCATCGACCAGCTGCCTCTTGCACACCCCCCACTGGGGATGTGCCCGCAACCAAGGTACATGCCCTTGACCGGAATCGAACCCGGGACCTTTCAGTCCGCAGGCTGATGCTCTATCTGCTGAGCCAAACCGGTCCCAGCGTATGTGTGGATTTTAAATAGGTATATTCAGATTCTGAGCAGTGGAATGAAAGTATAATATGATTTTTAACACTGTAAAGTGAAAATAATTATTGAAGATGAGAACGATGGATTTCTAAAATCTTATTAGTGTTGTTTTTTCTGCCTTCAGGTGACTTGATGGAAGGTGAGCTCTATTCTGCACTCAAGGAAGAAGAAGCATCTGAATCTGTTTCCAGTACCAATTTCAGTGGTGAAATGCACTTCTATGAGCTTGTAGAAGACACAAAAGATGGCATCTGGCTGGTTCAGGTATCAGAAACAGGGATAGAAGTGAATTTATTTTTACCAAAATAGTAACACTTCTGTGTGCTTATGTCAGGTTTCTTAAACATAACTTAGCTCTCATAACTCATAAGAAGGCTCCAGTGTCCTCTTAAAGTGTTGGGGAAAGAGAGTTGACCACTTGGTTTAGAAACAGCAGAAGCAAATCCATTTTAGTTGTTGGATCTTCATACATACTGGTATATTCCTTTTATTTAGTGGTTTATACCATCTCTCTTAATTTTTATGAACTCCAATTTTTAATTAAGGGACCCAAATGATTTCAGTATCTAAAAGAAGAAACCTAAGGTAAAAAAAAAAAAAAAAAGTAAAGGTATCTTTCTATAGGGAGATAGCCAACTGTTGTGACCCTAGAAGAACTCTTGTAGGAGATGGTGAGTTGGGAGTCAGAGGGACTCATTATTTTGCTTCTGAAATTGATGAGATTATAATTTAAAACCCTACCTCTTAATGAAAACTGTGAGATTTAATTAGCATATTGGAATTTTATAACTATGAAGGACTTTAAAAATATGTTTTATATTTCCCAAAGTGTAGTTTATATACCACTCACGGTACACGAGTGGGCACACATTATCATTTATGTATTTATGTATTTTAATGTAAGTTAGAAAAATCAATGCATCGAACATGTAATTTTATAAATATCATTAGGGCAAGGCTAAGGTTATTTAAATTTTTAAAATGTATGTTCCTTAAGTATCATATTAAGTAAATTACCATCATGAGTTCAGCTAAAATTATGATTATTGAACCAGGATTAAATCCCAGCTCTCCTAGTTTCTTGTCTAGTGCTCTTGTTATTTCACATTGGGATTGGCAAAGTTTGATTCAGGGTATAAAAATCAAAATAGCATTGCTTTATATATGTTTCAATATGACTTTCAATATGGGAACATTACTACAAAATGGTAGAAAAAGCTGAATTCAGAGACCTTAGTGTACATCTGTTTCTGTCACTGATTTGCATTATGATTGTGGATAGGTAGACTTCTGTTGCACATGGTCTCAAATAAATACATATATATCTAAAGAGGATACAATAATACTGTAGTTCACTGGACTAAAGGGTTAAGTCTTGGGAATTCTTCAGGTGATTACATTGGATATCCTTTTTTAAAAGTAATTTTTTAACTGATTTCAACTCAGATCATATTTCTCTAATTTCGTAAAAGATAACTTTCAAGAATTAGTTTTTAACAAATTGAATTATCTTTTCTAATGATTGGTATTTTGTTTTTTACTTATTTTTTAAATATATTATTATTGATTTGAGAAAGGAAGAGAGAGGGAGCAAGAGATAGAAACATCAATGATGGAGAGAGAATTATTGATCAGCTGCCTCCTGCATACCCCGCACTGTGGATGGAGCCCACATCCCAGGCATTTGCCCTGACAGGAATCAAATTGTGATCTCCTGCTTCATAGGTCAGAGCTCAACCACTGAGCCATGCCAGCCACACTAATTGTCGGTATTTTAGAAGAAGCTGACTTAGCTTCAGTTTGTTCTGTCATTTTGTTTTGTTTTTAAATCCTGAGGATGCATAAATCTTGGCCAATTCAATCCTCTTCAAATTGCCTTTATTTTATGTAAAAAATAGTTAAACATGTCCCAGTTTTCTCTTTTTTAACTCCCAGTTTTCTAATATTATTCTCTCATACAGATGAATTACAATTTTCTTTTGTATTTATTGAGGAAAAAATGTAATTAGGTGGCATATAACTGATGATTAGCACTTTAAACTTTATATACTATTTTACTGAAAAGATGTCTATATTTTCTTATTTAGGGAAAATGTGACTTTAATAAATGGGTATATGACTAAGCTGTTCCATCACTTGGTCATTTCATTATTTTTCTGGAATCAATTGATTGGCACTCTAGATTGATTATCTTTTTTTGGTAGCACTCCATATGGAATGACACTACAAAAGGAAAAGGACTTTCTATAATATATTTAATATATATTCCTTACTAGAGGCCTGGTGCATGAAATTTATGCACAGGTAGGGCCCCTAGGCCTGGCCTGCAATCAGGGCCAACCTTCCCCCGTGCCAGTAGCCTACTCCACCCCCATGGCCTGTGTCTGCCACCACCCGCCCCCAGTTCCCCGTCCCCATGGGGCAGTCAGAGTCTGCTGGTGTGGGGAGGGACCAAGAGGCCGACTGACTGACCCTGCTGCTGGTCACACTCTGTGTGAGGCAACTAACGGAGTGATCAGGGCTCCACTTGCTCGCCCCCACCTTGGCCTGGAGCCGCCCACATCCACTGCCACCTGCTCCTGGTTCCCTGTTCCCCATCGGGCAGTTGGGGCCTATGGACTGCGGGCAGCTCCTGTGTTGAGTGTCTACTCCCTTGTAGTCAGTGCATATCATAGCAACTGGTCGTTCCGCCATCCAGTCAATTTGCAAATTATGGATAGATAGATAGATAGATGATTTCTGTCTTCTCTATAATTCATGAGTTTATTTTCTGAATAATATATGTCAATGATCTTTGTATTTTTCTCCTTAACTGAAGATGTATTCATGCTCATGGATTATTCTTATGTTAAAATAGAGTATTAGGATACTCCTTTTCATGTCAAACTTTTCTGTCTGTCTAACATTTTCTATAATATGAGGTAGAAAGAACAGCTCTTTTTCCTAACAGTTCTTTTTAACATTGTTAGTTTCTGCTTTGTTTTTAACCTAAGCTTATATCCTTCATTAGCTATTTTTCAGTTTTGTGGATTCCTTAGTTCTGCTGCCACCCAATAATCTTAGCATCACAAACAGAAGACAATTACTTTCTTTTAGGAGACTCTGAGGCAGATAGAACAGTGGATAGGTTTCTGAAATGGAAAACATTGCATGTTTTATGGGTTTTATGGATTTAGCCTTAAGATTTCTGTTTCTGTTTTGACTTTTGTTCGAAGAAGGACTGTGATATTTGTTCTCTACCGGCTTTGTCGCATCATAAGGAAATTTAACATCACTAGACTTGATATAGCAGTGAAAAGCAAGTAAGCAAGCTTGAAGTAAGCTTTAGGTCAATATTGACTGAAGTATTATGCTGGTATATTTCCTGCTTGGCTGAAAAGAGTTAATAGCTGTTTTAAAATTTGTTCACCTTTGCTCCTAGACAATAGTTTTGTCCAGGAAGATCCTAACCTATTTATTCCTTTCTTGACATTATTCCAAAGATGAAATATATAGCCAGCCACTTTATTCTTTATTTTGTATTTCTCAAAAACTTTTGTGTTTTCTCATAGAGAAAGCTTATGAGAAAACCAAAGAAATAATTAAATGCCTCTGAGTTTTGTTTTTGTCAATCACTCATATGCATTTTTATTTTATTTTTTATTTTTTTTTGTGCAACTGTGGGTTTTTTAAAAATATTTTTTATTGATTTTTCACAGAGAGGAAGAGAGAGGGATAGAGAGTTAGAAACATTGATGAGAGAGAATCATCAATCAGCTGCCTCTTGCACACACCCCCACTGGGGATGTGCCCGCAACCAGGGTACATGCCCTTGACTGGAATCGAACCCGGGACCTTTCAGTCCACAGGCTGACGCTCTATCCACTGAGCCAAACCAGTCCTGGAACTCATATTCATTTTTAATGACTTTATACAATTTGTGTATATATATTTAGGTTGGTCTATAATTTTGAAAGTGGAAACTCCCTGTTAAAATGATTTACTGAGAGATGCAAAAAATATAATAGGACAACACTCATGTTCTGTGCAGTTGTTATATAATTTAGCCTAGATGTTGTTGTATGGGGATTAACAATATTAAAAGGCATATATTAAATGTTCTGATTAGTAATAAAGCCCACCTCTAAAATACATGTGTAGGCAAAAGTCTGTGGCTTTTTCTTACAGTATATCAGTGTAGCACCTGTAGGACGTGTGGAGGAGAATAGGCAATAACCTGAAGCCCAGTTTTTCCTTGTAAGTTTAACTGGACTACATAAGGTTGACATCAGCAAATACGGGCACTTGGCATCACATAATGTCCAACCCAGTTCCATCCAGTGATGTGTGCTGGAGCCAACTCATACCGTGTCATGAAGGGCGATAGTTAACATCTCTTCCCAACTCTGTATTTAGAGATGTCATGTTGCTAAGTTGGCCATCTGGGAGTATTTACACTAAGGAAATCAGCAAATCAAAGCTTTCTTTTTCTTCTGAAGAACTGGTTATTAAACATTTACCAGCAAACTACTGGTTTATCCATTTGTCCAACTATCTAACAAATATGTAAACCTTGTGATAAGCACTGAGAACACAAATGTGAGTAACATATAGTCTGTGCAATAAAACAGCTTAGTTTGGTTTACTAAAATGTGTGGAGCAGTAAAAATCTTAGTATATAATTGATTATCTTTTCCAGCTGAGTTAAATGGTCCATTGTGGTGCTAGCATCTTAAAGGATCCTAAAGAAGTCCATTACACAATGAAGGAACCTAGGAAAATTGCAGTAGTCTTCTTCTGGAAAAAGAGTATTTTTAAATACACTGGATTAGTCTTTATGCCAGACTAGGGTTAAAGACATTGATGTTCAATTACATAGGAAGGAACTATTTATGCTTGTGTTTGCCCAGAAAACATTCCAGATGACAAGTTGTTGGGGGAAGGCACTTTCATTATATCAGTAATAAACGTGGAAACTTTAGAGAACCTGTATAATCAGAGAAAGAAGAATGAGTTACTAAAACATTAAAAGCTAAATATTTAATCAATACCAAGTGAGTTAGGCATGCTGCACTAGGCTAGCTTCAGGAAATACAATGGTGAGAAAGTGTCGGGATGCTAGTTAGACTTGGGAAGGAGATGAAATGATGGCTTCACTTTAGCCTGTTGCCAAGTCTGTCCCAGATGTAGAATTCAGACTGTACTTTTACCTAGTTTTTCCTAGTCTCCCAGAATATTCCTTACAGAGATTGCAACATCCTTTCTGAACTGCCAAGAATTATGAT